TCGCTCTATTCCATTCATTGTAGTAATTATGTAGGTCACAAAACAGTCCAGCGGCGCGTACAACAATTTACATTTAATTTCAAATAATTTTTTCTAGACACTGCTACTACTTAGGACCGTGAATTTTACCCAGTGACATAATCATATTGTGACCTATTCCCCATTTTTTTTTGCATGTATTTCGCAATCACCTTGTATAACTGACAATTCTTCGTTGGCAGTTGTCAACTTGATGATATTTTTATTGAACACCCAGAATTAATAACTTGTAAGTTATTTTTAATGAGTAAGATGAGAAGGTTTATTTGATTTTTTTGAAGTAATATTCAACATTATCTAAAAAAATTTAATATCTTATCTTAATTATTTGTAAGTAGTAAATGCGTAGTGGAAAAAATGAGCAGTTCAAAGCAGTCGAAAGTGATAAAAAATCAACGACAGTCTACACCAAACAAGAAAAATGGGCAACACTTACGGCATTGAAATCTGTAACGAAACTAGCAACGACATCATTCATGTGGATATCCAAGGCAGCGTCGACCCTGCCCACAAAGACACCAGTATGGCAAGTTTTAGTTCTATTAGACCCAACTGCTCTCAAAAATTTAAAGCGGGCAATCCTGCGTTGCGCAATTTTTTTTTTGGAACCCCTATGTTTGCAGACGCTTTTTGGAGCCTCTTCGGCTTAAGCACTATTCAGTGCAGCGTTGTAGCCGTTTTTCAGAACTCAGAAAAAGACGATTTTGTAATTTTGTTGCAAAGACAAAACAAAATTGAGCTTCAATTCACACAACAAACCCACGAAGTAAAAGTTATCAAAATGGAAAATGGGCAAGATTATCGGATCACATTTCGACATACAGAGGCTCAGCTCACAAACCAAGAGGCTGAACAACTTCACCAGAACGGAATCACCGCCATGATGGAGGACCGTTTTTCAATAGCCCAGATGAAGTTTGACGAAGCTCTTGAAATAGCCACCGAAAAAAGCACCAAAGAAGCCATAAGATCGTCCAAAAAAGAGTTAAAGGAGTTAATGGACCAGAAGGCCAAAAGACTGCATACGGAAGGTCTTCAATTCTTGAAAATCGATCGTTACGATGAAGCTTTGACGAAATTTAAAAAAAGTTCGAAGTTAGCACAAGAGCCTGACACCATTGACACTATCACCAAGAGCAGAGACGAAACTCAGAAACTGAAAATTTCGGAAAAAAAGTCTCTGAAATTTAAAGAAGAAGCAGAGCGATTGTTGGCCCTCCACCAATACGATGCGGCTCTAAAGGAAATCTTCAAGGCTCTAAATCACGCTGTGAGGGATAAAACTCGCACCTTCCTCCAATTAACTATCAAGACCATAGAAAAAACTAAAACCAACGAACAGAAATGTGCAGAAATCCTAAAAGAAGCCACGTCGTTATTAAAAGAATATGATTACGAAACCTGCTTGACGAAACTGGAAGAAGCTTTGAAGCTCACGAAAAAAGAAGACACGATTTGTGACATAAAAAATAAAATAAGCGAAGCCCAAGAAATAAAAGTGTGTGAAGAAATGTCTCAACGAATAATAAGTGACGCACAAAAGTTCCTAAGAGAATACCAGTACGAAAAAGCTTTGCATACTTTTGAAACCGCTTTAAACTATGCCAAAAAGGAAAAGACACTTACTTTGATCAACGACAACATCGCCAAAGCCCAGGAGGAACAAAAGAAGCAAGAGAAATCCGAAAAGTTGAACGAGGAAGGACATTAACTTCAAGAATTTAGTAGGTAATTGTCTAAGTTGTTAACTCTAATAATAATAAAGTTGATGCTAAAAGTGAGACAATTTCTTCATTTCATTTGAGAGATTGGGGACAAAAAAAAATCACTGTTGGGTGCAAGTGAAAACACGTAATGAACGACAATTTAACGACCGCGGTGATACAGAAATCTGTAACCTTAAATTTGAAACTTTATCCCTCTGTATTAACTTTATGGTCTAAGTGCTGCTGAAAATTGCATCTACTAGTGTACCATTGTCGAAAGAAGCACCCTAGCTGTCATAAATCAAAATTTCCACGATTTCCGTCATTGCTGCCCTTGGATTTTTAAATTTGTTGGTCTTTCATTTTTTCGATGTTTCAGTTTTGGGATTTTTGTTTTTCGATTCTTCAATTTTTCTACGATTTTTCGATTTCTCAAATTTTCCCAATTCTCGATTTTTCGATGTTTCGGTTTCTCGACTGCTCGATTTTTAGATTTTCAGATTTTCAGTTATTCAATTTTTAGATTTTTCAGGTTTTTGATTTCTCAATTTTTCGAGATATTTCCATTTTGGATTTCTCAATTTTTTAATTTTTCGATATCTCAGTTTTCGATGTTTCAGTTTTCGGATTTTTCTGTTTTTTGAATCTTCAATTTTTCGATTTTTCAATTTTTTGAGATTTTGATTGCTTAAATTTTCGATTTGTCGATTTTCCGATTTGTTTTCTTATCAATTTTTCGATTTCTTGATTTATCGAAATTTTTCGATTGTTCAACATTTCAGTATTTTGCGTTTCTAAATTTTTAATTTTTCGAATGTTCGACTTTTAAATTTTTCGATTTTTCGATATTCTAATTTTCTCATTTCTCAAATTCTCGATTTTTCGATGTTTTGGTGTCGACACCGTGATCTTTCAATTTTCAGATTTTCAGTTCTTCAATTTTTGGGTTTTTTAAATTATTTTTATTTCTAAATTTAGGATTTTTCGATTTCTTGTTTTAAATTTTTCCAATTTTTGTCTTTTAAATGTCTCGATTTGTCGAGATTTCAATGTTTCGATTTTTCGATTTTTTTAAATTTAAATTTTTCGAATTTTCAAGTTTTAAATTTTTGATTTTTCGATTTTCTCGATTTTTAGATTTATCGATTTTTCAGTTTTTCCAATTTCTCAATTTCTCGAACGGTTTCTCGACTCCCCGATTTTTAGATTTTCAAATTTTCAATTATTCAATTTTTCGATTTTTCAAGTTATTGGTTTCTCAATTTTTTGAGTTTTTTCAACTTTGAATCTCTCGATTTTTCAACTTCTTGACCTTGTGACTTTCCAATTTTTAGATTTTTCACTATTCTGATTTTCCCATTTCTCGATTTTTCTATTTTCAGATCTTCAATTCTTCAATTTTTGAATTGTTCAATTTTTCGATTTTTCAGATTCTTGATTTCTCAATCTTTCAAAATTTTTCGATGTCTTGATTTTTCAATTTTTCAATGTTTCAGTTTTGGGATTTTTTAGTCTTTCGATTATTCAATTTTTCGATTCTTCAATTTTACATTATTTCCATTTTTCGATCTTTTAAATTTTAGATTTTTCGATTTCATGATTATATAGTTGTTTTTTGAGGTAATTAAAATTAGTTTATTTTTAATTTAAATTTTCCAAATTTTCAAATTTTAACTTTCGATTTTTTGATTTTAGGCTATTTCGATTGCCCGATTTTTACTTTTTTCGATTTTTAGATTTCCCGATTTTTTAAATTATCGACTTTTTCGTCTTTTCGACTCTAGATTTTTCGATGTTTCGATATTTTGATTTACCCATTTTTGAATTTTTCAATTTTTCGGTTTCTCGATATTCAGATTTTCAATTTTTGAATTTTTTGATTCTTCAGGTTTATGGTTTTCAAATTCTTCAAGATTTTTCGACTTTCGATTTCTCGATTTTTTTATTTTTGACGTTTCGAAATTTTTTATTTTTAGATTGCTAAATTACTCGTTTTTCGATTTTTCAATTTCTTGGTTTTTAAAATTTTCATCAGTTTTATCAAGTTTTCGATTTCCCGACTTTTCGAGATTTCGATGTTTCGATTTTTCACTTTTTCAATTTTTAAATTTTACATTTTTCGATTCTCCAATTTAATTGTTTCATTTTAAAAAATTTTCGATTTTTTAATATTCCAATTTATTGGTGTTTCTAAATTTTTGATTTTTTGGTTAATATTTTTCGATTTCTCGATTTTTCGACTATTCGACTTTTCGTCTTTGATTTTTCGGTTTTTCGCTATTATAATTTTCCCATTTCTGGATTTTTCGATTTTCAGAGTTTCAATTTTTGAATTTTTGGATTTTTCAATTTTTTGATTTTGCAGATTTTTGGTTTTTCAAATTTTGGAGATTTTTCGAGTTTCGATTTCTCGATTTTTCAATTTTTCGAACGCTCAGTTTTTCGATGCTTTAGTTTTGGGATCTTTCCGTTTTTCGACTCATCAGTTTTTCTTCGATTTTTCAATTCTTCAATGTTTCGATTTTTCGATATTTTTGGATTTTTTCAATTTTCCGATTTTTTAATTTTTTGATACTTTGGTTTTGTGATTACCTAAATTTTAGATTTTTCTATAGCTCCTAGAAAACACATAGTATCGTCACCGTGGAGCAAACCTGGCGGAAACTTAACAAAAACAAAAATTATAAACACCATTTGACAGACCGCGAAATTTAAAATGGTTTTATGTTGGATTTAAAGTTTGTAGTTTATATATAAAATAGGGAGTTTTAATTTGAATAAAATATAAAATTTAATCAATAAAATCTTATTTAATAATTATTAGTTATATTAATTGACAATTAATTGACTTTAAACAAAAAGACGACGCCAAGGCCACGTGACAACAACGATTTACGCGCTGTCAACTCTGCTGACACAATCTGGTTCCAAACTAGGGGAATTTTTTGCGTTGCCAACTCGTACAACAATGGATGACGGTACTGTGTATTTCTAGGGCCTATAATATCGATGAAACAAATTTTAGATTATAGTAGGTAAGTGTAAGTTGTTAATTCTAATAATAATCAAGATTGGGGATAAAAATAAAATCACTATTGGTTGCAAGTGAAACGACGCGTTGAACAGCAATTCAGCGACTGCGGTATTACAGAAACCTGTAACCTTGAATTTTAAACTTCACCCGTCTGTGTTGACTTTATGGTCAAATTGCTACCGAAAATCACACCTGCTGTTGTACCATCGTCGAAATAAGCACCCATGCCAACCACCTGTCGCCCATAAATCAAAATTTCCACACTTTCCGTCATTCTAGCCGCGCCACCAACCACCTGTCAAAACTGTCAAATCCGTCAAAAAGTAGGTCAATATTTTACTTTTCGATACGTATGCTCATATGTTAGGGAATAATTCGCTAAAGCCAGGAAATCCGTCCGTGTTTCTGGTACGCATTAGCAGCCCCCTCGTGACAGACCTCCCCCGCCCTCACACCTTCCCCCTAACACAGAACTCTTATTTCCAGACGTTCCACCATTCTAACCAAACTTGACATGGATTGAAATCGGAAATATGGCAGAAAAACTGGGTTTGGGCAGTGAAGTGAGGCAGCTGAAGATCGGCCAGAGTTTTACGAACCCGAAATCGACGGCTTTCCACTCTATTAAATGTAAGTTGAGTCTTGGGGTGGCTCCGACTGACGTCTCTGTTCCAGATGATTTCAAGCCCGCGTCCGTCGACACGAACAAAATCGCCACCGTGGACGTTGGTAATAATCACCAGGTTACAGTTACCGTACCTCATTTAGGTAAGACGGCAGTGTGGGGCTGCAGGGGCTGATGTGTGTGGTTTTAGATGGTGCAGGGGTGCCCCAAACAGTATTCAAAGGTTCGCAACGGCCCTACCAGAAAGAGTGCGTGCTTATCATAGATCGGGCCACCGGAGAAATTACGTTAGAGAAATTAACTTGTAATATTCAAGTGAAAAAGACGAGAAGTGAGTCTGCCAAATTGCCACTGCCTCAAGGTAAGATTTTCAGGGACGTGGGGACTGAGAGCGCCACGTTAATTAAAATGAGACAGTCAGTGACAAGCAGATTGTAGGTGGCTATGATTTTAAAACGTCAGTTGGCAATTCTGCTCTGTGTTGTCATATTAGGAATTTCATGGCTTGCTAGATGACTTCTAGGTGACTTAATACTGATAAAGTAATTCCTATAAACGGTTATTTTTGCCCAAGGGCTTAAAATAATTCCCAAATAAACACATAAAGATATTTGCATATCACAAACAAAACCCAATTGGTTATCATAAAAAAATAACATTCGCAAAATCCAATCTTATAATTTTTCGAAAAATGTTTGACCAATTTTTTTATGTTACAATTTTTCGTTTTTTAATTTTCTTTATTTTTTCAATTTTTCCATTTTTCAATGTTTCGGTTCCATAATTTTTCGTTTCTTCAACTTTAGTTTTGCAATTTTTCGTTTCTTCAATTTTTCAAGTTCTTGACTTCCAATTTTTAGATTTTAAAAATTTTCATTTTGTACTTTTTCGTTTTTTCGCTTTTGATTTTTCAGTTTTACAATTTTGCAATTTTTTTTATTTGAAAAGTTGAAAACTCCAAATCGAAGAACTGAAGACATGAAAAATCCAAAAATTGAAAAATTTCACATTGAAAAAAAGAAAAATTATAGAATCAGGATTGAAAAACCGAAAAATTGAAGAAATAAAGTACCTGATTTTTCGAAGTTTTCATTTTATATTTTTTCTCTTGTCATTTTTGATTGTTCAATTTTGCAATTACTCCATTTTTTTTGTTCGAAAACTTGAAAAATCGAAAATTTGAAGAAATGTAAAATTCAGAAATTTAAAATTGAAGCTAAATATAAGAAAGATCCAACAAAATCCTGAAAAAATTCTATAATTACAAAGATTAGAAAAATTCCAAATTTTAAAGATGTAAACTGACGTTCTAAGATTCCACATATAAGAAAGATTCAACTAATTCCCAAAAAAATTTGAAGATCCTGACAGTCTTAAAGATCTTAGAAATTGTAGAGAACCTTTTACCTAAAAATTATCAGTAAGGAGAAATTGAAAAATTAAAACTAAACAATTTTGCAATTATTCCATTTTTTTATTCGAAAACTTGAAAAATCGGAAAAAAATAAAAATCGAAATAGTGAAAAATCGAAGAATGAAGAAACAAAAAATTGAAACATTGAAAAACCCAAAGACTGTAAAAATCGAAAAATGATAGAATTATCAAAATTGTAAAGCCGGAAAATTGAAAAAAATTATAAAATCGGAACATTGAAATATCGAAAAATTGTAAAAATAAAGGAAATAAAAAACTGAAACGAAAAATTGCAAATCGAAAATCCTGAAAATTCTAAACTTCTAATAATAATTCTAAATTGTCCAAAATGTCTAATAATTCGAAAAACCTTAATGATCCTATAATTTAGAAAAATGAGAGAAATTCGAAATTGTAAACAAACTGAAATTCTAAGATTCTACACATAAGGAAATTCTAGAGCCTTAAAGATTAGGAATTTCTAAACTTCTAATAATTCTAAACTGTTCAAAAGCTCCAAAAATTCTAAAGATTTCAGACGTTTTTAAAGATCCTATAAATTCGAAAGATTAGAGAAATTCTAAAATGTTCAAATCTCCAAAGATTCTAAAGATTTTAGACATTCTAAAGACTTTAAAGATATAAATTCGAAAGATTAGATGAGAATCGAATAATTGCAAAATCGAAAAAGTGAAAAAACCAAAAATTGTAAAAATAACATCGAAAAATAGAATTGTCACAATTGTATAGTCGGAAAATTGTAACATTGAAACATTGAAAAATTAAAAATTGAAGAAATAAAGAAAATAAAAACCGAAATGAAAAATTGGATATACGAAAAATTGAAAAATTAATAATCAAAAAATTATTATTAGATAACACTTCAAATCATTTCAAACCAGGAAAATTGCCAATCTGAAATTGATGAAACGAAAAGTTGAATTTTCCATTTTCAATTTCTATTTTTTCAATTTTTCATTTCTTCAAACTTTTGGTTTCGGTTTATATTTTCTTTATTTTGACAATTTTTAGTTTTTTCGTTTCTTCGATTTTTCGATTTGCAATTTTTCGTTTCGATTTTTCTTTATTTTTTCAATTTTAGATTTTTTTTACAATTATTACATTTTTTAAAAAATCGAAAAAGTGAAAATCGTGAAAATGAAAAATTTTAAATTGAAAAAACGAAAAATTAAAAAATCTAAAAGATGAAAAGTCGAAAGTTGAAAGCCGGAAAATTGCATATCGAAAAATTGTAAAATTTCACATTGAAAAATTAAATGCTGAAAATTTTCAAAGATCCTGAGAAATTGTAGAGAGGCTTAAAGATCCTGGAAATTCTAAATATTGAAAAATTCAAAATCGAAAAATTGAAAAATCGGATAAATGAACAAGTTTAAAAATTTAGTAATTCAAAAGTGGAAACATAAAGTTGAAAAAGTGATTTTTTTTTAATTTTGAATTAATTAATAGATAAATATTTAAAATGAAAACTAGAAAAATTGCAAATCAAAAATTGAAGAAACGCAAATTGAAAAATCGAAAAACTGAAAAAACTAAAAACTAAAAAATCTAAAAGATGAAAAGTCGAAAGTTGGAAGCCGGAAAATTGCAACTCGAAAAATTGAAAAATTTCACATTGAAAAATTAAATGCTGAAAATTTTCAAAGATCTTGAGAAATTGTAGAGAGGCTTAAAGATTCTGGAAATTCTAAATATTGAAAAATTAAAAATCGAAAAATTGAAAAATCGAATAACTGAACAAGTTTTAAAATCTAGTAATTCAAAAGTGGAAACATAAAGTTAAAAAGTGATTTTTTTTAATTTTGAATTAATTAATAGATAAATATTTCAAATTAAAACTAGAAAAATTGCAAATCAAAAATTGAAGAATCGAAAAACTGAAAAAACTAAAAACTAAAAAATCTAAAAGATGAAAAGTCGAAAGTTGGAAGCCGGAAAATTGCATATCGAAAAATTGAAAAATTTCGCATTGAAAAATTAAATGCTGAAAATTTTTAAAGATCCTTAGAAATTGTAGAGAGGCTTAAAGATTCTGGAAATTGTAAATATTGAAAAATTCAAAATCGAAAAATTGAAAAATCGGATAAATGAACAAGTTTTAAAATTTAGTAATTCAAAAGTGGAAACATAAAGTTGAAAAAGTGATTTTTTTTTTAATTTTGAATTAATTAATAGATAAATATTTAAAATGAAAACTAGAAAAATTGCAAATCAAAAATTGAGGAAACGCAAATTGAAAAGTCGAAAAACTTAAAAAACTAAAAACTAAAAAAATCTAAAAGATGAAAAGTCGAAAGTTGAAAACTGGAAAATTGCAAGAAACGTAAACTGAAAAATTTAAAATTGAAAAAATTACAAAATATAAACCGAAACCAAAAGTTGTAAATCGAAATTTGAAGAAATGAAAAATTGAAAAATTAAAAATAAGATACTAAATATAAGAAAGATCCAACAAAATCCAAAAATTTGTAAAATCCAAAGTGTCGCCTCAAAGATCCTAAAAATGTTAGGAGAGCCTTAAAGATTACAGAAATTCTAAACTTCTAATAATTCTAAAATGTCCAGAAGATTCAGTACATTCTAAAGATTCTATAAATTAGAAAGATTAGCGAAAGATTCTACATATAAGAAAGATCTATCAAAATCCTGAAAATTTTAAGATTCTGAGGTTCCTAGATTCTAGAAATTCTAAACTTCTAACAATTCTAAAGACTCCAGACATTCTAGAGACCTTAAAGATCCTAAAAATTAGAAAGATTAGAGAAATTGTAAATAAACTGAAGTTCTAAGATATCATAAGAAAGATTCATCAAAATCCTAAAAAGATTTTGAGTCTCCTAAAGATCCTAGAAAGTCTGGAGAGCTTTAAAAATTCTGAAAATTCTAAACTTCTAATAACCCTAAAATGTTCCGAATGCCCAATGGTTCTAAAAAAGACTCAAGACGGTATAAAGACCTTAAAGATTTTGTAAATTACAAAGATTGGACAAATTCCAACAAAATCCTTGAGTGTTTCAAAGATCTTAGAAATTCTAGAGAGCCTTAAATATGAGGGAGATTCTAAACTTCTAATAATTCTAAAATGTCCCCAAAAGGTCTCAAGATTCTATCAATCAGAGAAATTACAAATAAACTGAAGTTCCAAGATTACAGGAAAGATCCAAAAGAATCCTGAAAATGTTTAAAGATCCTGAGAAATTTTAGAGAGCTTTAAAGATCCTGGAAATTATAAACATTGAGAAATTAAAAAATTAAAAATCGAATAAACGAAAAAGTTTAAAAAAAACATAAATCCGTAAAATTGAAGATGTGGAAATTTTCAAAAATTATAATTATTATTAGATACATATTTAAAATTAAAACTGGAAAAATTGCAAATCGAAAAACTGAAAAATCAAGAAACTGAAAAATTTAAAATTGAAAAAACGAAAAATTAAAAAATCTGAAAGATTAAAAGTCGAAAGTTGAAAGCCGGAAAATTGAAAAATTAAAAATAAGGTGTTAAATATGAGAAAGATCCAACACAATCCAAAAATTTTAAATATCCAAAGTGTCGTCTCAAAGATCCTAAAAATATTAGGAGAGCCTTAAAGATTATCGAAATTCTAAAATCTCCAGAAGGTCCAATACATTCTAAAGATTCTATAAATTAGAAAGATTAGAGTAATTAGAAATTGTAAATAACCCAAAGTTCCAAGATCCCACACATAAGAAAGATCCAACAAAATCCTAAAAAGATCTTGAGTATCCTAAGGATCTTTAGATCCTAAATCCGGAAAGCCTTAAAATTTCTGAAAATTCTAAACTTTCAATAATTCTAAAATGTTCAAATATCCAACGATTATAAAAACTGAAGACAGTATAAAGATTTTAAAGATCCTATAAATTACAAAGATTAGAAAAATTTCAAATTTTAAATATGTAAA